ACAAACATCATATTGACCAGCTTTTGGTATGTAGCTCAGGCATTTTTCAACTCGAAGGGCATCACCTTGTAGCAGTACAAACCTTTGTCTGTGATGAACGATGTGGATTCCTCATCAGGTTGGAACATGGGTATCTGGTTGTACCTTGAGTATGCATCTATGAAGCTTAGGAGCTCATGTCCAGTAGTAGAGTCCACCAGTTGGTCTATCCTTAGGAGAGGGAAGATGTCCTTGGGATATGCACACCCTCCATTTTCCACTAGGTTTCTTTACGAGGACCGGGTTTGATATCCATTTCGAATAGATAGCTTTTCTGATAAAGTCGCTACGGCTGAGTTTGTCGACTTCTTCTTTGAACGCCTTACATTGCTCTGAATTGAGAGCTCGTCTTTTCTGCCAGTGTGGAGGCACAAGAGGAGTTGATATTGAGGTGGTGGCAACTGACCCTTGGGTCTATTCCCACCATGTCCTTGTGCTTTCAAGCGAAGACATCCAGATTTCTTTTCAGGAAGTTTATAATTTTTTCTTTCACTTCGGGGGATACTGCTTTTCCTATGCGCAAGACATGAGCGGGGTCTTCATGGCTAATGGGGAAAGTTTCCAATTCTTCCATTGGAGTCGCATTTGGTTCGGACTCGATAATTTGAGGATCCAACTCATCAAAATGGTGCCCTTCTTCAGGGGCCTCTGCCATGTCGACGTCTTCCTCCTACTCGGAGGTATGCCCTTGTTCAGGGACGTCGATCATTTCTATGTCCATGTTGGCTTCGTCTGTGACACCTGTTATGATGACATTAACAGTGTGGGGTTCAAATTTTTGCAGAGAGTTGAGGTAACATGCCCTTGAATCCATTTGGTCGCCTCGTACTGTAGCAATCCCCTGCTCAGTTGGGAACTTCATACACAAGTAATGGATGGATATAAATGCCCAAAGATCTTTCAAGGCAGGTCGGCCCAATATTCCATGGTAAGTTGATCCGTGGTCCACCACCAGGAACTCCATAAAGTGATGGGCCACTAGGGGTTGACCCATCTCGAGAAGTAGAGTAATTTACCCTCGTGGGATGATGCTGTTGCCCTTAAATCTAAATAGCGGGTCGATCATGGGGATCAACCCATGTTCAATTTGCATCTTATTAAAGGTGGATCCGAACAGTATATTCATCGAGCTGTCATTATCGACGAGCATGCGTTTGAGTCCGTTTCGAGCCACTACGACTCTTACCAATAACGCATCACAATGGGGGTGGTGAATTCCTTGTGCATCTTCTGGAGAGAAAGTGATCGAGGCCATCCTATTAGTCACTTGGGTCTGATTGACTATGTAAGTAATCATTGGTGGATCCTTTACTTCCCTTGTGTAGTTCCTCTGAGCGTTCCTAGTGTTGCCCCCGATGTGAGGTCCTCCGATGATTGTATCAATTTCCCCGATAACTTGGCCTCTATATGGGGCCTGATCTCTATGTCTGGATTCTCCTTCGTCCCTGGATTCTCTTTGGGGTGATTGGCCTCTATTTCGCCTTTCTTCCCTATTCAGGGAGGTGGACGTGCGGGGGTATTCTTCCCTCCTCAGGTTACTCCGATTCGAGGATCGAGGAGTATCCCTACATTCGTTGGTGTCGTGCCCGTAAAGTTGGTAAAATGTGCAGAACCTTGCCCCTTCCAGGGGCCTGTTTGATCGCTTTTTCTTCTTCTTCTTTCGATTGTTGTTTGTTCCTCCGGATGGTCTTGATTCGGTAAGAAAATTTTCATATGCTAGCACTGGCACTGCATTTAGAGTGGCTGAAGCCAACACCTGTCCGGATGTAGGGGCTACCGTGTGATCGGCCTGGTTCCATTGTTGGGTGATGAGGTGTGCTGCCGATCTTCGACCTACCTGTCGCTGAGTTGGAGGGAGTCCCTACGTGTATGGTTTCGGTGGTCAATCATCTCTTCATTGACAATCTCTACCCTCATCATTTCTACCAGTTCATCGTAGGTAGTGGGATTCTTGCTACGTAGATCCCACCAGAACAAAGTGTTCATGTTATGGCCACCTTTCAAAGCTGAAAGAGCCTCTTGTCAGTGACTTCCTTTCAATATGTGATTTCATCAGTGAATCTGGAGAGATAGCTTTTCAGCTTCTTGCCCAGAGCTTGCCTCAGAGCTTGCAGGCGTTGCATTGGGAGCTTTCCTTCCCTTCGTGAAAGGTATCGGTTTAGAAATGCCTCTTCAAGTCTGGCCAACTTTTGATGCTCAGGGGTGGTAATCTGCTATACCACACTTTCGTAGTTTTGGTGAGGGTTAGATGGAAGGCCCTACATTTTAGTGCCGACGAGACTCCTCTGAGGCTCATCTGCGTCATGTACTTAGTCAGGTGTTTCTGTGGGTCCCCTTTCCTTTATACTTTGAAATTTTAGGGGGCATGAAGTTTGCAGGCATCCGGCAACTTCAAATTTCTCTGGAGAATGGGAGGTTGTCATCATCGTCATCAATTTTGTAGGAGCGACATGGCCTTTCGGAGCCCTCCCCCTTTGATTCATTTTGGGGAGGTGGAGGTGTCTCTTCTCAACTACCCCAATCCATTAGGTTTCTCCTCTCCCGCCTATTTCTAGGCGGAGAAGGTACTTGTCCTTGTTCCTGCTCTTGTCAAACTGATCTTTGCATAGAGCAGATCCTATTGCTAAGGTTCTGCCCTATTCTGTCGAAAACACTGACAGACCTTTGTGGTTCGTATTCTGATGGGAAGTTCTCTCCTAGCGATGGTTCTGTTGGTTGGCTCTCCTGTGCGTAAAATGTGACATCAACACCCACTTCTCTTTTAAGGGGGTGTTTCCGGCGCTGGCTCGACTGGCCACGGCCATGAGGCGCAAGAATTTCTTAGGCTGGATATGGCCCTTGATGCATCTAGAAACCCTGATGACCTCGGGTCTGCATGAAGAATTCACGCATCGCCACTTTCTGAGCAGCAATGTCCCTCATTCCAGCAGCTATTTGAGTCATTCCTTTAGTGAGCGCTGCTGTCCTGTTGCCTCGGTGACGTCGGTAATGGGGTCTCCGATGCGTGACATTGGTCCTAATTACCTCTTCTTCAGAGGCATCCCTGTGCCCTGCGTAATTTGCATTTTCATTACTATAACTCATTTTGTCTACTTTTTCGAGGGTGTTAAGAATTTTGTAGGTTAACTTTGTTCTTTTTCAAGAACGTGCCTTTTTCAGGGTAAGTTGGTGGTTTGCCGGTGGCTTTTCTGATGGACAATGTGGAACTTTTGGACGAAAATTTTCCACAGACGGTGTCAATCTGTTGACCTCGAGATTTGGACCCTCAACGTGACCAACAGATAGCTACTCCACGTAATCCTCCGTGCGAACAACACAATGTCAGAAGCATACGGCCGGAACTAGCGGCGGTGGTGGCGGTCGCATACACTCCGACGATCAAGTTAGTATTGGGTGTTCGGCACAATGTTCAAGTTATGCAAGAGAGTGAGGAAGAGAATATATATTTCTTAGTATGGAGAGCTAAGTTAATAAGAGTTTCATTACCTCTTTCTCTTGCCATTAGGTATTTATAGATGTAGAGCACTGTTTGATGTGAGACACGTGTATGCATCTGACGGTGTGAGGCGTCCGCTCATAAGCGTCAATCAGTCGCGTTTAGAGTGGGCAGGCAATTAGTTCTTCTGAGTTGAGTTGATATAAAGTCGATACGTCATATCAAATGGACCAATGAAGATGTCACATTAATTGATCTTTGGAGATATCTGACAGTAGCGGTGGGGGGATCTGTCAATGGAGGGCTTCGAAGTGTTCAGCGCTTCGAAGTTGAGGGACACTTCGGTTACTTCAGTGGTTCTACTCTTCACCCTGCAGCGCGCCATGTTGAGATCGTCAAGAGTGGGCATCACTTTGGAACCACTTCAGACGAACACGTGGCACTTCGAGGGGTGGCGTGACTGTTTTTCCGAAGTGATTTAGTTAGGGGTGTAACATTTACAATTTCAATAAAATAAAAATAGGGGGGTGTATTCAATTGAGACTTTTGAAGACTTTGATAAAAAAAATTTAAGTGATGACTTTTGTGAATTTCGTGAATCTTTTATAGATTTGTATAGAATTTGTGGAAATCTTTCATAAACTTCTATGAATTTTCATTTAAAATTTTTTATAGACTTTTGTGAAATTCAAAAGACATTTGAAGACTTTTATTGAAATAGAATTCATGTAGATTTGGTGTGATATTTTCAAATAGGTTAGTTCTCACAATTCTCTTTTTCCTTATCCTTCTTCTTCCTATATAATAAAAAAATTGAAAAAAAATAAAAATTTAAGACCTTTATTAAATAAGTAACAGTTATATATATATATAAATTTTTCATATAAAATTTTATAATTTAATAAAAAAAATAGATATTTTTCACAAAAAAAAACTAAAAAGAAAAGAAAAAGCTACAAGAATACAATTTAAATTTTTCATAGAAAATAGAGATAAATAATAAGAGAGAAAGAAAGATAAATGGAATATAATCAATATAAATAAATAAATTTTAATTCTATAAAAATATAATGAAAGAAAGATAATATATATATATATATATATATATATATATATATATATAAAAAAAAATTAATTTTAATTATGCGTGTCCATAGAAGGTTAAAGAAAAGAAAGATTGCAAAAAATTTTTTTTTTGTGAAAGTCTCCAAAAATCTCGTGATTAATGAAAGACAAATTTTAAAGATTTTATATGAGAACTTTCTACTTAAAAATTAGTACTCCAGAAACTTTTATAAAAGTTTTTGGAGGTCATTAAAATTTGAATACCTTAAAATTTATAGAAACTTCTAAAAAGTTTTAAATGAATACACCGTAATTTTTAAAGATTTTTTAAAAATCTATAAAAGTCTCAACTGAATACATTATTACTTTTAAAAAATTTCAATTGAATAACGCTAAACTTTTTAAATCTCAAAAAATCATTAAAAATCTCAGTTTTTCCTAAATTGACCTCACCCTCTCAAACCCCCCAGTGACCCAAATGCTAAAACCCACACAACCGTTTTCGACGGCTCACCCTGGAAAGAGCAACCAAAATTCTCAAAAGCATTTTTGGCGAGGTAAGCTTGTAAAGCTGAAATTTTCTACCTTGAAAAACTCGACTATCAGAAAATTTAGAATTCGCAATCCGATTATGGGAGGCTCCCAGAGCAGGTCAGCAATGCTGGCATGGAGGAGTTTTTGCAATATTTCTCAGAGCTGACTGGCAGAAGGTAACAATTTGGGAAGTGGAAGTATCTTGGGGGTTCTGAACGGAGAGCCTCTGGTTATGAAGCTGGCGAAATACGGTGTGCTTCCTGGAGCCACGACTGCCCTAGGTTACTCTCCTCCCGGTTATATTTCACCCAAGAAACCGTCTGATTTTAACTCCCACAATTCTTCTTCCTAGTAGATTCAAAGTGCATTTCCTTTCTTTATCTGTTTGCATTAATCAGTTCCATTGATTTCGCTTTGCTTTAAGTTAGAGTTGGAATTATGTTTTGAGGTTTGCCATTATTGATATTTATGTTGCTGTAACCGCTGTGCATCACTGCCTGTTTGTTTAATTTCTCTATGGTATTTAAGGAATGGAAGAGGGAAATAGCTGATAATAGAGAAATGACTGTTGATTTCTTGAAAAAATGTATAATTTTGAATTATTAATTTAACTGCTATTCGAGCCAAAAAAAGGCTTTTAAATCTTTTGCATGCAAAAATTGTTTGTTGGTAAATATGTGGTTGGGACTTGGGAGTTATGCGTTCTTCATTAACATGGATATTGAATTATGTGGGAAAAACAGTTATGTGGAGATGGAAGGGCTAAGAGAGGATGAGATATTTACAGGAATAGACAAACGTAAGATATGGCAATTTGACAAATGTTTCTGTTCAATTGAAATGATAATAGCTGAGTTAGACTGTGTGGGATTATGAGTGCAATTTGAAGGTGAAAAGATAACAACAAAGAATATGAATGTAGAGAAACTTGTGTTGAAAATGAATAGGCTGGGCAGAAATAAAATCCATATGGTGAATTCTTGTATTGTTGTTTGCGAATATTCAGATTCGGTAACATTTTTAATGTGTTTTATGGTGTCCTATAAATTGTGCTTAAGAATTGGGTGTTAAAGAATCTAACTCCCTCGTTCATCAGTTTTACATTCATTGAGCACCTCTTAAAGTTCAGTATTTGAGGAGAAAAGGATGGTTTGTGAACCAACTATATCAGTCTATTAGCTGTCTCTCCATTGTTGCTCTAGTTCTTATTAAAAGCCTCAAATATTGATTTATGAAGCTCAATTTAGAGGGGACAGAGTAATTAACTGATGGACATTACTTTCCTAATATGTTATGCCAAAATTTTGAGAGATTTCGATAGATGCAAACCATTTTAATCCAGTTCTTTTGCATACTCCTCTTTTGGTTCATGTTATTACTCACCTGGTGAAATACTATCTTAGTGCAATGTTTGGTGATGCTATGGGGAGGGATAGCCCCCCTGCCCGGATGTAGAAGAAAAGGCATTTGCGTGCTTTAACTTTTTAAGTTACTATGTGTAATCCTTGTAAATATATGGGGCATGTTTGGTGTGCAATGCTAGACAGAACTGGATAATATTGTAGATAAGATTTTAACTACTACTTCCTTAATACTTTCCCATCTGTCTAATCAGACACCATGTTTGATGTAATCCTTATGACTGTCTGTTGGTTTGATTTCTTTTTGGTAATTTAAAGGAGAGAAAAGCAAAATAGAGGATAAGAGAGAATCATATGGAAAAACGACTGCCGATTTATTTAACAAACATGTACGTCTCTGTTGTTAATTTAACTGCCATTCTAATAAACAAATTGAGTTTTTAAGTCCGTTGCATTTATTCGTAGGAGGTGCTGTTTGAACTTTATGTTCTTCATTGGCATGGATATTGACAAATGGGTCAAAAATATTTAAGTGGGGGTACCAGAAGGTAGAGAGATATTTACAGGGAGAGATGAATTTAAGAAATAAAATGTTTTTAGGTGTTCCTTTTCATTTCAAATTAGACAAGCTGTGCGTTGTGTGAGATTATGGGTGTAATGTGAATGTGAAAAGATATTGACAATGAATGAAAGAATAATTTGTTGGAAATGAATAGGTTGGACGAAAAGAAAATCCATAAGGTGAATTCTTGCGCTTGTTCTTTTGGTACAGTCAGTAGCTTTTATTATGTTGATTGCGGTAATTTTTTCACATTTATTATCACCCTTTAAAACTTCAGTATTCAAAGGGGAAATGAAGGTTTGAAGTGACCAACTATATTAGTCTAATACCTGTCTCTGTATTGTTCTTGGTCTTATTAAATGACTTAAATATTGTTTCATGAAGCTGAATTTAGAGGGGACCAAGTAACAAATTGATTAGCATGTTGTATGACCATAAATTCTATATTTGTTGTATTTGAGAAATAAAACGTGTTTCTTTGAATGACAATTAGGATAGGACGCATTCTAGCAAACTGACACGTGGCTTCATTCTTGATTCAGGGCTTTTGGCTGACTAAACGTGCATCTTTTCATTTCCCTGGATGAATATGGTATGTGATAATTGTTGCTGCTGTGTACCTGTTGAAAGCAATCAGGATTTTGCGTTTCCGTATTTCTTAAAGAAAATTGTTGCTTTCCTATTATGTCATGCCTATATTTTAATCCAGTCCTTATGCATACTGATGTCCTTTCGTTTCCCATCATGTCCTATGTCCGATATCCCATCATTCGCTTTATATCGACCCAGCAAAACTTCATATGTCAAAGCAATCCCCTTTCACAAAGTTCCTATGTGGATTTGTCCCAGAGGTACTATGAGGCCCTCAAAACTTCTGCTTCTCAAAAATCAATATTTGTTACTCAAAAAATCCATGCTCAGATCGTTGTCTCTGGTCTTTATTCTTCGACATTTCTTCAAAACCATCTGATCAACTCGTACTCGAGGATTGGAATAGTCAGTGATTCTGTGAAAGTTTTTTCAGAAACTGAATTTCGAAATGTATTTAGTTGGAATACAATGATTAATGGGCTGGCAGATTCTGGTTTGATGAAAGAAGCAGAAAAGCTGCTTGATGAAATGCCTGAGAAAGACTCTATTTCGTGGAACTCGATGATGTCAGGTTACTTTAATAATGGGAAGGTCAGAGATACGATAAAAGTGTTTGTCTCAATGATAAAGGATCGCCGTTGTATTCCGGATTTGTTTTCTTTTTCTTGTGCAATGAAGGCTTGTGCAAGTCTCGGGTATGTGAAGCTTGCTTTTCAGCTTCATGGTTTAGCTGCGAAGTTTGAATTTCGGAAAGGTAAATCAATCAGTTCATCCATAATTGATATGTATATAAAATCAGGTGAATTGGACTGTGCTGAGAGAGTGTTTTCTAGGATATCTGGTCCTAATTTATTTTGCTGGAATAGCATGATTCATGGGTATTCCAAATTTCATGGTATCCAAATGGCTCTTGATTTGTTTAATCAAATGCCTGAGCGCGATGTTGTTTCCTGGAATACCATGATTTCTGTCCTATCTCAACATGGGATTGGAAAGCAGACACTAAGTATGTTTGTTCAAATGTGCAATCAAGGTTTTGTACCAAACTCAATGACCTATGCTTCTGTTCTTAGTGCATGCACGAGCACCAGTGATTTGTCATGGGGTACTCACTTACATGCTCGAGTTCTTCGGATGGTGCCAAATCTTGATGTCTATATTGGCAGCGGTTTGATTGATATGTATGCAAAATGTGGATGGCTGGAATATGCAAAGCGGGTTTTTAGTGACTTAAAAGAGCCGAATGAGGTTTCATGGACTTCTTTAATTGGGGGAGTTGCTCAATTTGGTTGTGGAGAGGAAGCTCTGGAGATATTCAAAAAGATGAGGGATGTTCCGATGGCACCAGATGAATTTACTGTTGCTACTGTTATTGGAGTTTGTTCAAGTTTAAAAGATAAATCTCTTGGGGAACAGATCCATGCATATGTAATAAAGATAGGAGTGCAATCCTCTGTGCCCGTGGGAAATGCTCTTGTCACAATGTATGCAAAGTGTGGAAATGTTCCAAATGCAAACCGTGCTTTTGAGTTTATGCCAGTCAAGGATATTATATCTTGGACAGCTATAATTACTGCATTTTCCCAGGATGGAAATGTCAAAAAAGCAAGAGAACATTTTGATAAAATGCCTGAACGTAATGTTATAACTTGGAATTCAATGTTAGGCACATATATGCAAAATGGCTTCTGGGAAGAGGGTCTCAAACTTTATATTATCATGCTTAGAAGACGAGTTAAACCAGATTGGATTACTTATGCAACTTCACTCAGCGGCTGCTCTTATTTGGCAGTGATGAAACTTGGAAACCAAATCATGGCACAAGCTGAAAAAGATGGTTTTAGTTCAGATGGGACAGTTCTCAATAGTGTCGTCACTATGTATTCAAGGTGTGGACGAATTGAAGATGCACAAAAGGTTTTCGATTCTATAATTACGAAGGATATTGTTACTTGGAATGCTATGATGTCTGGTTATGCTCAGAGTGGTCAAGGTAGGAAAGTGATCGAGATTTTCGAAGAAATGTTAAAATTAGGATTCACGCCTGATCATATAAGCTACGTGTCCGTTCTATCAGGTTGCAGCTATTCTGGACTCGTACCTGAAGGTCATTATTATTTTAATTTGATGACCAAAGGTCATGGTATCTCTCCAACATGTGAGCACTATGTCTGTATGGTAGATCTTCTTGCACGAGCAGGTTTGCTGGAGCAGGCCATAAATTTGATCAAGGAAATGCAGCTGGAACCAAATGCTGCTGTTTGGGGAGCTCTGCTTGGTGGATGTCGCATCCACGGAAACACTGAATTAGCAGAAGTTGCAGTGTCAAATTTAATAAACATAGATGTGGCCGATTCTGGAAGCTATGTCCTTCTGGCCAACCTTTATTCTGACTCTGGAAAGTTAGAAGGTGTTTTGGATATGAGAAAAATAATGAGAGAGAAAGGAATAAGGAAAAATCCAGGCTGCAGCTGGATTGAGGTTGACAACAGGGTGCATGTGTTCACTGTAGATGACACCGGCCACCCTCAAATCAAGGATGTCTACAGAATGTTGGAGAAGATTATGGAAATGGTAGAGAATACAGGAAAATACATCTATGAAAAGTATTCTGAGAGGCCAAGGAGCTGCCACAGCGAGAAGCTTGCAATGGCTTTTGGGTTGATGACTTTGCCATCTTGGATGCCTATTTATATAATGAAGAACCTACGAATATGCCAGGATTGTCATTTGGTGATGAAGTTGATATCCTTTGTTACTTCAAGGGAACTTATCATAAGGGATGCAAATAGGTTCCATCACTTCAAGGATGGTTCTTGTTCTTGTGGGGATTACTGGTAGTCCAGTACATGAAGTTCTCTTCTTCAAGTTGAGTTAAATTTTATTAGCATTCTTCGAGGTTAAGACTTAATTCATAAGTTGTAAAATAAATATTTATTTATTTATTTATTATTATTATTTTTAATATTCATGAAAAATTGAACAATGCTTTGAAAAACCCATCTAATCTTATATATGAATGCATTTATTGTTTCCGATAATTGTTGTTGTTGGTAATGAGACAGAATGCTGATAAGGATTTATCTTTTCCTTTTTCCTCTGCTTTATTACCTGCAAGAATGAAATTACTTGGTTTGTTTTGTGGCAAAATAAAAATTTTGATATTCACTTCACTTGGTGAATTTGACATCTGGATTCCTTGTAGGTTTTAGCCACATGTCTGCCAATACATATGAGTAAATGCACCACAGGATGTTCGGCCCCTTTGGCTCAAGGCATTTACCCTTTTTACCTGCCTTCCCCTTTCCATCTGCTACCAGCCACAGCAATGCAGTTAGTATTTGCTTTTCAGTGTCCCATACATTTTTTTCTTCCTGGAGTTCTCACTCTTAAGCCCCTAACACGTAAACTTGATACTTCATATTTTGTCTCCTCATCGTAACTATCAGTCTTATCGTAAACTGCATTGCATGAATCAATGCTACGATAGGGCCACAAACAGCCTCGTACTGCCTCATTGCATTGCATAGTTGGACAACCACTGACAATGTTAAAGCTGGTGGGTCTGAAGCATCATCAGGACATTTTGTGCTGCTAACCCTTATCCGATCCTCAGTGGGAACTGCTGAAGCCAATGGGTGATTATATACTTTTACATTAACTCCAATGGTTTTCGCATCAATTGGAGATACATCAAATGGGGCATCTTCTTCAGCCTTACCAGTCTGAATTTTTAGAGCGTCTATTGCCATAACTTCAATCTTTTGCATTGAGAAAGCCAAAATGTCATCAATTGTCAGAGGGGCTTCACTCACATTCCATATTCTGGTTGAAATTCTTTCCTCTCTACCGCTGTTCATTGCAGTTACCATGGATTTTACAGCAGTAAAAGTGCGAGCAGCACTTTCTTTGTTCCTTCCATGGATAATTGCTGAAGCAATGCCTTCAAAACCTATCTTCTCTGATGTTTTACCAATGAGTTCATCCAATGGCATCAATGATAAGATCTGAGAACTAAGTTCTTCAAGGCCAATAGCTGCCATCTCCTGGAATAACTTAAATCTGTTCTTATATGATTGGAGAATGAATGGCTTGGACAACTGCATTGCGAGTTTTGGTTTGTCTTTCTGTGCAATTGCAGTATCCAGAGGATTCATAGCTGCCGATTGCCCTCCATTAAGTGTTTGGATTAGGCAGCCCAATCCATTCCCGAGATCTGGTAGGAAGATGTGGACTCGGTCTCTTCTTTATTTTCATTGCTTTCCACCTTTGGAGTAAGGATTTCAGGATCAATCTTGAACTTACTAGCTTCAACGCCCTCCAGCATTTGTAGAAATTCTCTAGTTATGATTTCTTCGTCTGCATCTGATATTTGGGATGCCGTTTCTTCATCTGTTTTGTCTGCTTTTTCCTCCCCCATCATGGATTCAAGAGCTTTTATCTGCTGAGCATTTGAATCAAGCTCTGTCAATCTTGTCAGGTGGAATTGATTGTGAACAATTTCCTTGACAACCTCGCTTGAGATGGATCTTTTATCAGAGTTTTCTGCTGTTTTTCCTTCATCTTCATCTTCATCTTCATCTTCATCTTGGATTTCAACTCCTTTATCCACCACTTCAAAGTCTGGGAGATCGAGGTTCTCCATTTTCGCCTTTTCTTCCTCGGTCTTCTACTACAGGAGCTGGGAAGTTGAAGGTGCTGGAGCCAGTTCACCAAGATTCAGATCAACAATTCCTTAAATATCTGATGTGACTCTTTCTGTGAAGGAGTCCAAGCTTCTGCTCGGCTAGTCGGTCTTGGACTTGGAACACTAAAGGATGATTTTGAGTGTCTTCGAGCAACAGAAGGTGAGTTATTCCTATTTTTACCCGACTTCTGGCTGTCAGACTGATTATAAAATCCAATACCTCCATCTTTCTCCATAATCTGGAACTCCAATTTCAGAACAAGTTCATCCCCCTTAGCCTTAGGTGAGAGATTGAAGGCTGTATCCCATTGTTGAATTCTTGCACCTTCAAAGCTCTTCTCAATGGATTCCTGAATTAAGTGACTTAAATCTGTAGAACTTCTTCCAAAATCAAGTTCTTCAGCATCAACTGCAATCATATATATATAGAAATGGATGTGGTTCGAACTTATGCGCTTTCCACTTTCTGGGGTGAAGTAAACACGGCACCTTATGAACAGTCTCTTCAAAACCAGCTTCTCTTTGAGAAACCCTTGATGGCATTGTCTGAACTGCTCCGTCCTTGCTTTCTTTCTCCCTAACACAAACAGATAAGCAAAGGCCATTCATAGAAGCTGGAAGATCATGAACTGTGACAACTTCTACTGAGAACAAATAACTAAGCTTCTGCATACCAATATGGAAGAGTACTCTAATTGGCTTCCATTTCCATATTCCTTTCTTCTCTGATGTAGCTGATTCATCAACCAACTTCTTTGTCTCTATCTTAGTTGAAACCGTACTTCGCTCTCTCTGCTCTTCTTCCTCATCAAGCTTTGGCAGAGAACGCGGAGGGGACAGGGACATGTGCCTCGATCTTGGTTTTCGGTTTAGCCTCTCAAATTTTTCCGTTTCAATTTCATCGGTGGAGGAGATAGGCGGGATCACACTTCTTGGAAATACAAGAGAGGTAGTTCCTCGGACAATAGCTGAAATGTGCGACTGGTAGAGGGACTCACTAAGTGCCTCAAGTTCTTGCGATAGCTGAGTATTCGAATTTCTTCTCCGCTGATTATCTGCCACCAGAATATCATTCTCATGCAAGAGCCATACCAATTCACCAGCAGGTTCAAGATCCTGTAATTAATTTAATTTTATCTCTGTATGATCCTTGTTTTTTACCTCCTTTTTTACTGGGTTTCTGCTAAGATTCAAGAACTGCACGTGTATGAGATTAGCGAGAGAGATTGTGGTAGCCCTGCATATCTTTGATAGTCAAAAAACTGTCAATACCCTCGCTGTCATTGAGGCTCTTGGCAGCGCACTCACTAGTAAGTGCATCAAGGGCATTCTTTGAGAAAACGAATACATCAACAAGATCGAAAATCTCACCCATTCCCATGCTCTCTAGGCCTACTGCATGATCCCATAAAGTGGAGTGTCAATGTGCGGCCCTATAGTGGCTGTCCAGTGAATTTTGTTGTCTGCATGGCAATTCTTAACCCCTTGTGACAGGATCATGGGTCTTGATTTGCCTTCTAGGTGCATTTGACACACGGGTATTATACTTCTGATGGGAAGAAATTCAGTGCCACATCGAATTACTTCGAGCTTGCCTTATAAGGTGGAATTCAAGGACGGGGTACATTGATTACGATAGGTTGGTGGGGGAAGGCCATGGATTCTGGCCTAAATTGCACATCTGTGGAGGAAGTGCTTATACCAGAGACTTGGACTACAAAAGGTTCATGGAGATTGCGGACAAATGCGGTGCGCTTTTGCTCTGCGACATAGTTCACATGTGTGGGCTTGTTGCTACTCAAGTATTCAAGATTTTTGATGGATTTGATTTGTTTGCTTTTTATTGTTACTGACCTGCAAATTATTATTAAATTGTCTTTGAAATTTTAGATCAGAATCTGTGCATTTGGATCTTAAGATATATAAATGTTATGTTAGCCTTTTCATGGTTGAGAGTGCAGATGACAGTAACTTTCTTTTCAAAACCAAGTTCTTATCATATTGAATTGGTCAATTATATTTATTGTTTGATATGTATGATGGAACATAGATTGCAGGTTTCTTAATCAGGATTTATGGTTTTAATGCTTCATAGTGATCTGGTTTTGCATTTCCAAGCTGCTGAAATAAATATTGACATGTACGAAAATTTATAGTTGTTTTGTTATGTTTTGAAAGATTATTATGTTTATGAAATTATGGCCTTTCCAAATTTCTCAAGACATCAAGCAACAATTGTATTCTGGCTAACTTATTTTCTCTAATGTTTTTTCTACGTTTTGTTGTTCTACTTTTCATCATTGATATTGATGTTGGAATTTGCTCGTATACTCTGGTAGCTTTTTTTGTTGTTTTCCTAATACATTTGATTCTTGATTTCAATCCTTAATTCTCTGGAATATTTGTGCATCGAGTTGAATTTGTTATGAGTTTTATCATATTGTTTCTTGATTCTGACCACTGTAGACACATTGTTAATTGAGGGTCTCATTTTGCATTTTTTAATTTCTTGTTCGATTCCATGAGATGATTTATGCCCGTTACATTCAATTAAGTGTTCTTCCTTTTCTCGTTCTTTTGTGATGGGAGTGTTGCTTTCACATTATTCATTTATAATTATGATTGTAATATTGTTCACTGCAATTACAACGTTTCCAACCCTCATCCCATTTCGGAGTGCAAGAAAAGTGAAAAGTGCAAACTAAGTCTCCAACCTTAGTTGCAGTCTCTGGTCTTTATCGGTTCATTCTGTCTGAGTGAGTTTATAGAGCACCAACAGGCTATTAGGTTCATTCCCTAACTTTAGACGGCCCAAGCCTAAAAGGAAAAATGGAAGCACAATCTTCATCATTCAACTTCAGAAGGTACTCTCACTCTCTTTTTTAAGCTATATTTTTCATGTAATATGATTATTTCGTGTAATCTTTGTGATTATTTCGTGTAATCTTCCCACTTAATGGTACTAAACTAAAGTTACTAGCAAAATTTAATTGCCATCTGTTGAGGTGGGCTAAATCATATTTAACCTTAAATAAAAAGGGCAATGAAGGGTCATTGTAGATGCAGTAGTAACCAAATCCCATTTTACGATACAAATATGGTGTCATCTTGGTCAAAACGTGTTGTCCACTTCAACAAAGCCCATCTTTCTCTTTCTTCCCAATTTTTTTTCCCTACTATATAAAAAAAATTCAATGAATAGTTTACTAGACATGCAATAGTGATTAAATTCCCTTCCAAAATGATGCCTTTTTTATTTGCTTTCCTATTGTTGCTTTTCTCTTCTCAGACACGCAACCTTCTTCTTTGGTCTTTGTGCTCTCCATTTTTCAAAATTTCATCAGACACAAGCAACATTTCTCTTATTTCTTCAGCCTTTTCCAACTCTTTCTTTCCAGAATTTCTGTCTCTTGTTCGAAATTCTTTAGAAGAACCCAAAAAAATTGTGGAATATTGAGATTTATACATGTAGAATTAGAATCCTCAAACCTTCATTTTCCTCTTTTTATATATGTTTAGTCCATTTCCTTCAAGCCTTATTGGTTTTGTGTTCGACATTTTTCTCTCTGTCCGTGTTCCAAGTTTTCTAAAACCTTCCCCAAAAAAGTGGAAAAATTACCCAGAAATTGGTGATTGGCGACGTGAAGTATGTCGGTTTGATATTTGCTTAGATTTAGGGTAATTTTCCTTTTGGAAACATTTCATTTTATCTATTTATTCTTGATGATTTTAGGTTGAAATCTTGTATATGTATCAACTAACTTTTTTTTAGTGTATAGGGTTCCATTCTATTCTTAAGTTGGTGGAATCGAAGCCAGTAGCGGCGCCACCCCTTGAAATAAATTTGTTTTCTTAGTTGATTCTTGATGGTTTTGGCTACAAATCTTCCTTCTTCATTTTTTAATTGACTCTTCTTTTTGTTTTTAAGATCTATTTTGCCTAAAATGTTTCCATTTTTTGGGTTGAAGATTTGTTTCTTTTGGATTTTTAGGTTTTTTTAGTTGATTGTTTATAATGAGTTGATTGTAAATTTGTAATAGGTTGTTGGTTATTGATTTTTGTTTGTTTAGGGTATCAATGCTTAAAACATGTTTATCAGGCAACATAATACACGAAGGTGACTACCAAATTGTTATAGGCACACTTCTGGTAACGAAAATCTGTAAAAAATTTAATGAACTGGAACCCATAAAAAACTATGCACTGGAAAAAAACTTTTACAAAAGAATTCCTGTCTTAATAAATCTAGTAAGTATAACCAATCATGTCACATACTTGCTGAACAGCTATATGAGGAAGATTTCTACTCAGTGGTATCTATCTCCAAGTTAATGAGGTAGGATCAGATAAAGTCCATGTAAATCAAAGTGCCAATGTTCATTTTGTAACGATCAACACTTCTTCTGCATTTATTTGTGGACATTTTCAACATCATGGTATTTATACATAAGTCTTTGATTATCAATTCGAAGTTCAATTTTTTTATTGATTCATTGTTTACTTCTGTATTTCCTCTCTTCTGTTGCCTTTTAATTTAAATGTTTGTTCCTCTGTTTATGTTTGTTGCGTGGCTGCTTATTTCTAACTTTTTCCTTTAGTTGGGGAATATACATTGTTATAATTATATTCTTGATTTTCTGTTCTATATCTTGTTTTGACTTCTGGTTCCTACATTTATTTTGCTTCGAACCATTTCAAGAATTATGATATTTGTGTAAATTTTTTGAGTTACCTTAGCATAGTGTTCTAAAGTTACCAGCAATTCTAAAACCTCTGATGGGATTAATCAACCAATAGAAGTTTGAAAAATCGTCTCTATAGTTAATGGTTTTTATTTTTGGACTTCAGCCATTTCCATTTTGCTCACAAGCTTGTAATTATACTTATGGACTCTACAATTTTTTTACTTCGGGATAGCCCTGGTTTTGAAAGGTAATTACATTTGTGTTTTTGGCAAGAACTCTGACTTCTCGTTGTCTTCTGTGATTGCACAAGCCAAGAGATTTTTTCCTACATTTTAGTCTCAATGCAAAAAATGAAATGTTGCACACACTTTCATTTTTAGTAGGCATTATGAAGATGGAATTCTTTGTGGCTCACCCAATTTCTGCAAGTAGGTTTGGCTCATTCCATATTGTGTGTTCTTATTTTGCTTAATTTTCTAATATTTAAATGTATAATTTTTCATCTTTGGTACTTTATTTTATTCTTTTTTTCATGTCACTTATGTTGGGGAATTGGATTTTAATGAGATCACTGTTTCTCTTTGATTTCAATGTTGTTTGGTATTTACAATAGATTTAATTGTTTGTTTTTTCAATGGGTTCATGTATTGTTGAAGGAGATGTGCACTAAATTATTTAAGCAATTCTCATTGTCTCGCAGGTAACTATTCTTTTTCTTCACTATTTTTGGGTATAATTACTTTATTTCTTTGTGATAATACAAGAAGGAAGTTGTGTGTTTAGTGGAGGTCCAATTCATTTAATTTGTGAGAAGTTTTTGTAATTTTTTTAGTTATGATTTATATTACTTGACAAAAATACACTGAGCTTTAATGATGGTTTAGTTTTGTTTCTTTATGATTTTTATTTTTTCTTTATTTAGGGTTTGATCATCAGATACTTAAGGGTTTCCTTTCTTTTTTTTT